CCCACCCCCAGCCACTCATGACTACCCAGGAAAGTCCACCTCTTGTCCTAGAGTTTCGCTGGGCAGCTATTTGGGGCTCAGAAGCCGTGGCTGTCTCTGCCGAGGCAGGGGCCCAGCCCTCCCGTGGACGCTGGCCACAGAGCGGTCGCAGAGAGCCGGGCTCCCAGCAGAGAGAATTCACAAGCAGATCCCAAATCTGCAGCCACCCACTGGGTCAGCGTTCTATTCCGTCCGTGCTCCAAGTTGAATTCCCTTGTGAGTCTATGTAGATGCAAATTTGGCAAGTGGTTCAGTGTGGTGTTTCTGTAGCTCCGTGTGGTTATGGGGGGATCTTTTCCATTTTTAGAACTGAAAATGTTTAGTCACTGATGCTTTTAAAGAAAATGACAGGCGTGTACATATAGACATGTACAGCGGAACACAGTATTCAGGGTTTTCAGCAGAGAGGCCGAGACATAGGATGGTGGCACCAAAATGCATCTGGCTTCATTGCTTGCTTTGGTGTTGACCTGTGACTATGAGTATCAAGCCCTTCCCAGGGGAGAGCTGGCCTGGACCACCCACTTCCAACTGGAGGCACACGGGCCTTCTTCCTCTCAGGGGCCTGTGGGGGGCTGGGGCTGCCAACATGGAAACATCTCCCAGGCTTGTAATGAGGTGTTCCTTGTCTTCCCAGCGGATACGCCCATTGAAGAATTCACGCCGACGCCAGCATTCCCGGCCCTGCAGTACCTGGAGTCTGTGGATGAAGGCGGGGTGGCATGGCAAGCCGGACTGAGGACTGGGGACTTCTTGATTGAGGTAGGGACACAGGTGTTTGTATCTTTCTGCTTGGGGAGAGCGCTGACTCTCTTAGAGTTGAGGTCCGTCGTCTTGGCAGCATGGCCATTGGGCCAGACTTGGGGATGCTCATGGAGACTGCTGTGGACTGGTGTCATTTGGTTATTTCCACCCAGTGGATGCCATTTCCTGTGGACTTGTGTGGGTTGTCTTTGAGGCCTTGGCTATAATTCTTTGAAGGGTGGAAATGTATGTGGAACTTGGCCATTGGTCTCGAAGGAGAAGGTAGAAGGAAGAGAAGTGTGGTTGCCATGATGTCGGGGACAGGCCTGGATCTATGGGTGCTTTCGTCGGGACTGTATGAATAGACACCAAGAGGAGCTGTCACCCACTCTTGTGCCACAAGGGCAGGTTGGAAAGCTCTGTACTGTGGCTCTTGCTTGCGTGAGGTCTGTAACGTTGGTGGCTAAGAGTTCATTGATTTGTAAGTTGCAGTAACTGGCCTGTCGGATGGATAACGGCCTTCAAAGACCAAGGAGCATGGGCAAGAGGGGAGGCTGGCATTGATGGGACAAAAAGGAAATTTTTAAGTTCAAATGCTTTGAAAACCTGCTTTTCAAAAGGAGGGAGTGTTCTCTTCTTTTAAAGAATCCCACAAGTGCCCATGTTTTTCAAGCTTTAACTGCAGTTGCCACATTGGTGTGTGTGAGGTGTCCGAGTTGCCAGCCCATCCGAGCTCCCTGCCTTTTTCGGGTTTAGGTGTTACTTTCAATCTTGTTGTGCAAAGGAATGTGTTACTCTTTGGAAATATTAAGAATAGAAGAACATATTGTACTTTGGAAAAATTATTTTTAAGAGGTTCAGTAAGCTCAAATGGCCCTCGCTGGGAGTTCAGGTTTCTTAGAAAAGCATTCCTCGACGTTAACCCTGACTCATCTGCACTGGAAACCCACATGCAGGTGGAAGGAATGGATACATGGTATCCAGCTGGCCACGAGGTGATCCCCGCTATTGAGTCAGCCGGACACATTTCGTTCTGTAAAGGAAGAGACCAGGCCATGGGGAGATGGCCACTTGAAGCCATTTCTCTCCATTATGCCTAAGCTTCCAAATGTGCTTTTTGAGCTACAATTTTGATCTCCTTAGTGTTTCTCAAGACGATAAGAGTGATGGAAATCCAGAAGGAAAGATACCATGGGAGGAGAGAGCGCCAGGTAAAATGGAGAAGATGTTTTAACCTGTTCCAGGTATCTTGTGTGGGTCTCATTTTATTTGACGAAAGATGTCTTTAAATTATTATTGACCTATCAGAGCCTGGCTCAGATGCAGAATGAGCTCATTTGGATTCGTGTCCATTTAAACTGTGGGTTGTGTGAGCAGAGTGATGGAGACGGGAACCCACCGTGGTTTCATGGGTTAACTTGGTTTGTAACCTCATGAAAATGCAGAGACTGGGTTGAATCATCCTCTGTAGGAAGCAGTTGTGATGTAAGTCCCCTTCCCGTGTGTGTGTGTGTGTGTGTGTGTGTGTGTGTGTGAGTGTGTGTGTGTGTCTGGAGAGCGAGAGAGAGAGAGAGAGAGGCTCCAATAGATTGACATAGCTGTTCCTGGTTCTTGGTTTTAAATAATAAATGAGAGCTGCAGATGCAAGAGCATCCCCCGTTGTTTGGCGCATCGGATTGTTTCCTTGATAAACTAGTCAGTAAAAGAAACGTGGGACTGCCGAGGAGCATGTGCTGGGCCCAGCCCTTTCCAGGGAAGCAGAGCCGCGCTGGGTTGGCGGACGTGTCCACAGCACGCACCTGGGCCGGGTGGAGGAGGCACGCCAGCTGGGGGGTTTGAAGCCTCCGTGGAAGCAAGGAGCATTAAGTGCTTCTGTTTTCAAAGCACCTCCTTTGACATTGCTTTTAACCTCTGATATGCAAATATATTTGCCATTTTGGAACAGGTTTCATATTCTGGGTAACCTCTGAATTCCAGGATTCTAGGAATGGCTGGCTCTGGGATGCGTTAAGGCTCTGTTGGTATTATAATGTCACACATGACCAGAAGGAGGAATGGGCCCTCCACAGCCTCAGGCCCCACAAGGCTGCTTACCGTGGGTCCCACAGCAATGAGGGGGGACAAGGGGTTGGCCCCTTGGAACCCTGTTCCTCCCAGTTCATTTCCAAGGCTACCTCATGGGTCTCAGAGTTCTCCTATAGATGCTTGGATTAAAAAGACTAAGCGTTTCCATTGAGTCATTTTCCTAGCGACCGGATTCCACCACTGGAATGTGAAAATCATTTACAGCCTATTAGGTGCATGTTTTTACAAACAGACAATTTTTCTATGTTCTCAGTGAAAAGCTTCAACCTTGGAGGGATTGCTTTAAACCGACTCACGTGTCTCAGGCAAATCTTCGTTTTGGCCAGAAACCGTCCCTGGAGTCGGTGGGCTTTCTGAGTTCTTGGTGAAGTGCAGGGTCCCCATGTGGAAAGCTGTCCCAAGTGAGGGCAGATCGTCCCCATCCCCCCATTCTCCCTAGCAAGGCTTCTTCTCTCTCCGCTCTTTGAAAGGAACTCAAAGCATGTCAGATTTTTATTCTCTCTTTAAAAACGCACGCTGCAGTTTGAACCTTGTGACCAAAGGGCAACTTTTGAAGTGAATGTTCGCTCTTCAAAGTCTTCAGCATCCACAGAACTGCGTTTTTCCTTCTTGGACGTTGTCAGAGCACCCTGACGTTGTCACTTTGCTGATGTCAGCTCCTGTCCTGAAGGGTTTTCTGCTTGGGGTGCTTACCCTCTAGAATTCATGTCTCTCCTGCCTGAGAATTTGGAAGGAGTCTGCTCTTTTGTCATCCGTATTGTTTCTCTGTTGACCACACCCCCTCATGCCAAAAAGCAGAAGCTTTGAGTAAAGTGCATGTAAAAGGCTGTCTTCCAATTGAGAGCTAGGAGATGGGTGGGTCCTAGAGTGCCAGTTAGGTTGTCATAAAAATTCATCTCAGAGGTGGGGAAGGAGAAGTGGGTGCTCCATGGAGGGGGGCATTTCAACATGGTGGCTCCGTAGACCGTATGTGTCTACCATTTTCAGATCCCCGCCATGTGCAGGAATCCCCTGGATGGCTGATGACACTGGAGCTGTCCCAGAGAGCTTTAGGAGGCAGTGGGAGTGGGCAGGGTGGTGGGAGCTGAGCGCCGCTGTGGGGACCTGCAAGTGAGAGCGATGCTGGCAGAGAGGTGCGTCGCTGATAACCCAGTGACAGCCCAGGGAGCTGCCGGAGAGTCAAGTTCTTCTCTCTTGCAGGTCAAGTGTAAGGGTGGGGACCCCACCAGCCAAGAATGATAAAGGCCCACGTCCCTTTTGGTTACAACAGAAAACCCAATTCAAACTGGTCTTAATAACGCTAAGAGCTTGTCAGGGAATTCAAACAAAGGCGTTTAGAGGTAGAACCAGCCTTCCAGCATTGTTTGTTAAAGACCCCATCTGCTATTTCTTTGAGATCGTCTTGGTTAAGCCTCCTCACCCCCACGAGAGGGGGCAGGAGAAGTCGCTTATGAGGAGTGGTAAGGAGGCAGTAGATGGCTTGTGGATGACAGTTTTGCATCGAGTAATTAAGGAGACATGGGGGTTGGGATGTCACTTTGCTATTCTGCAGGGGCTCACCAAACTGGCCCGCCAGCCTCGTCCAGTGAAACCTGGCTAGGTGTCAGTCACCTACAGACCTTTCAGAAGCACAGAGACCAGGTTGCCAGCCCGCACCTACTGAATCACGAGGCAGGAGCTTGGGCCTCGGTGTTTAGAACACTTCAGTGATACTCCCAGGGGTTCCAGTGGACAGGCGAGATGATGACTGGCTGACCTAATCCGTGTTGGCTTCTTGAACCTCATAATTCGGCATCCTAACTAAAGAATAGTGGCAGGTACTGTGCCAGTCTCCTCATCTTAAGACCAGAACTGTCTTTCTTCCACAACTTCCCCATTTGGAAGCCTAAGTTTTGTTTCTTGCATTACTTTCACAAACTAAAACATCCTATAGCTCAAGAATTGCTCATAATACAACCAAACGGTAAACATCCGAAGGGCAAACAACATTTGCAACAAATACGACAAAAGGCCCACGTCCTTATTTACAGCAATCGAGGGTGTGTCTGCCAGTCCCTTGATTGTTGTCCAGTCCCCTCTGACCCTCACATGAATGCTATAAAACAGCATATGTTGTTACCCCCATTTTACAGATGAGGAAACTGAGTCACAGAGAGGTTAAATCACGTGCTCACAGTCACACAGCAGGTGAGTGGAGAACCTGGGATTCCAGCCCAGGCTGTCATTCAGTACCCTGTAGGTCAGAGATTCCTGAGAGACACTTTGATGTGCTGGATGTGTAAATGGGCAAAGGGTAAGAGGAGAAACAAACAATGAGATGTCAATTTTTATTTTCAAATTAGCGAACGCTTTTTTTCTCATGACTATGCCCGTCGCTGGTGACAGCACTCCTGTGTTGCTATGCAAAAGAATAAATTGCCATAAACTTTTTAGAAATCAATGTGACAGTGTATAACAAGAACCGTAAAGCTGAACCAGGAATAGTACATCTAGGAATCCATCCTAAGGGAATGATCTCAGAAAAACAGGCAGAGATCACAGCGTAGCAAAAAAATAAGGGGGTGTGAGCCTAGAAGGGAATGGCTAAGGGGACAGCGTGCATCTGCTATGGATTTGTAAGAAAGCATTTAAAATTATGCTTGCAAGTTTTTCATACCAATAGGAAATGGGTTACCTTATATTAGGTGAAAAGGGCAGAATCAAAATTATCTGTACAATATCATCTAAATTATACCACCTCCCCCCAAAATAGGCATAGAACAAAAGGAAAGGAAATATTAACCCCTGGGTGATGGGATCTTGCGTGATTATTTTCGCTTTTTTCAGACTTTTCTCAGATTTTCCAGAATGACAATATTAATTTCATAAATAGAAAATTATTCCTTAGAAGAAAGCCATCTCACGCAGGTGAGTGGCGTCTCAGCCTCCGTGAC